GGGGGGGAGGGGGGTTGGACTAGAGGTCTCCAGAGGTCTCTTCCAACCTCAGCCATTTTGTGATTCTGTGAGTCTGTGATTAGTTCTATCTCTCACAGCACGCTTTCTCTCCACAGCCATATTAAAGAGATTAAGAAGAAGCTGGAGGCAAAAAGAGTGGACCGAATCCAAACCATGATGAGAAACACTAGTGACAAGGCTGCTCAGGAGAGGTACTGGAGTAGATGTTACTGGGCTTTGTCTATGCAGAGCACTAGCAGTGCTGTTCCAGGCAGGGAACAGTACTATACCACAGTCTCTGTCATCACTGGAAAACCTTTTAAAGCATCCAAACAGGTAGTGGCATACATATAGAAATCAGGGAAGATAAGCTTGCTTACCCTCACTCCTGGCACAGCACTTTGTTTCCATCGCATTCCAGTACGCAGGCATAGATGCAGTGAAGCCAAACCTCAGCTCCCTAGCTGCAGCAAGGTCACTGCTGCAGTCTCCGCTGACAATGGCTTCCAGAGCTTTCTCCCTGGTTGAGTAAGACAAACTGAACCTAGAAGATGACCCTCCCAATAGCACCTGTCCTCTTTGGCTCTTTTACTTGTTTTAGTTTCTTAATTGCTGAAGGGATAAAGCACCTCCCAGGCACTTTAGCAGAAATCTAAGAGGATTTCCAAATTTTGTGCTTACCCTTACACCTTGGTGTGGGCATTTATCTCTCCTTAGAATCAAAGCTAGACCTTTCCTCTCCTCTCTAGAGTCTGTTTGTAATCATTTTCAGCAACCCTCTCAGTTAGGCGGCCTGTGTTTAGGCATATAATGGTTGCATTTTTCCTTCCCCTTTAATTTGTTATAAAAATAAATATTCTGCTATTGGGCTTGTGCACTCAACCACCACATGCTATGAATCAGTATATCACTACCAGTTGTAATAGCTTCAAGTGTTTAAGGGTACATAAGAGGGTACAATACCTCATTTGAAATTCCTGCTCATAGCAAAATCCTTTCAGTGTTTGTTAAAATGAAAAAATATAATTTTACATCCAATTATTTGGCTTATGCCTCAGTCAAGTTTGAATGTTGTTTATTTGCCCATTCCTAAAATTACAGTAATTTCTTTATGTGGGAGGACATTAAGTGAGTATAGGCATACCTGTCTCTGTGTGGGCGCTAGCATATATGGCACTTTATCAGTATTGATAAACAGGTTTTGTGTAAAGATAACAGATGGCTTTTAACTTTTTATACCTTTCTTTTATTTAAAGGTTAAAGAAAGAAATTAATAACTCTCACATTCAGGAAGTAGTGCAAACAATCAAGCTGGTAAGTTCTAGTGTGACAATCTGCCATAGCATCTCTGTCTTCTCCAAAGTGGAGGTGTCCCATGTACATCATCAGCATGTGTCACAGACAGAACTTGAGTTCTCTGAGGTATTTAAATTCTATTAAATTGCTATTGCATCAAGGATTCTGAGCGTGTACTTCAGATAGCCAAACTGCAGCTGAAGACAGCTACTATCCTTTTTAAGATAACACAGGTCCATCAGGTTTTTGTCAGTCCCCCTAGCTGACAAGAGGTGCAATGCAGAAGAGAACTCTCCAGGAAATTCTACATTTCTAATTCAGGGATTATTTTAAAAGTATATCTAATTAGCAGCGTAACCCCACGTTAGTTTAATTATGTGCTGAGTTTTGCAGAAGGGGAGTGGATTTTAAGGCTCTCATCTTTACCATTCAGAGGCCTATCCCCCTGCAGAGCAGACCCTGTGTGTGTGTGTGTGTGTGTGTGTGTGTGTGCGCGCACTGGGTCAGCTCTTGCAGTGCTTCCCTAGCACTTGAGTTCAGGGTCAAGAGCACTACACAAATAACTTGGAGCCAGCAGAAATTTTTCAGAACTGGAGGTAAGGGAGATACTGTGGCATGCACTTTACAACCCTGTGTCTTGCTATTATAAGCTTGGGGTGGCTAAGGCATTTGCTTATAAAACTTAAACTTTGAGTGTTTTTTTTAATCTGTTTTTAAAGGTGACAGAAAGGATGGCCCGGTATCAACAGAAACTGGAAGAGAAGCAGACAGATAATCTGAAAAAAATCAAGGAGAAGGAAAGCCAGGTAAAGGCAAAAATGAATCTCAGGTTCAGTGTTGTTATGCAGTACAGTAAATCCAAAACCCTACAGGGGATCAGTCTTCCTTGTGACTTCTTTAATTAATGGTACACTCATCCTCCCCACATACACCCTTCAGACACCTACTGCTCGTTACACTGAGAAACTGAATGGCTTAGAGGGTGGTTCTACAGGAACCTACACAGATCTAAGTCAGAAGTGCTGCTGCACTCCTACATCCCTTGTGCCAGCACTAGCATTCACCTAATCCTACAAAACCTTCCTAAATTTAAAGTGTGATGAAACCATGCCCTCGGAGGAGATGAATTTCATTCCTCAGTTACTCGAACACTCACAGAAACACTTTCAGGGTTGATGTGAAGCGAACATGCTGTCTTAATTCATCTCTCAAACTTACTTCAGTGCAAATCAAAATAATGTAAATCAGCACACTGCCCCCCCACCCCCACCCCCACTTTCCCCCCAACATACACACACCTCCCTGCTTCATCTTCAGTGAAATCAAAGGTTGCCCAGGGCATGCAGACAAGTTGTTCAATACAGAGTTGAGACTGAAAAAGCAAACTATACTGGCCATCATACTGGCCTCTCTCAGAACAGGCTTTTTTTATAGCATTCTTAGCATTTTCAGCTTGAACTCTGCTTAGCTTCAGTGGCTGGAGAATGATTTGGAGTTTCTGTTTGCAGCTCCAGCAGGAGGCACTGGTGGAGTACAAGGAGAAATTGAAAAGTCTGTATATGGAGGTGCAGGAGATGACGGTGAAGAACTATGCAAAAGTAGTCTTTCCTGGAGAGCCAGAAATTCAGAAGGAAGCTATTCTGAGCACCACTGAGGAGGAACAAAGCTCTGCAGAACAACTGGAAGAACAGATACCAGTAGCAGAGGTGTCAAGGCTTAGAATAGCCATGGCTGAGCCCTCAGGGGCTGAGGCAGCTGCTGAGACTGAAGAAAGCAGATTTTGAGATATGCTTCCCTTACTGTTCCACTTCAGAAAGGATGTTTATGGAGGTGTGTAGGAATGTTAAACACCAGCAAAAGTGTCTGCTGTCAGAATACTAACCCTTCCCACCCTGGGAAACTCCTGAAATCCTTCAGGAATTTACTACTTTATTATCCTAGATATTGAAGAGTAGTAGTCTGAAGGACTCACCCTTCAGAGAATGCTTTATTCTCCTTGCAGTGAGGTATTGCAGCAGCATGAAAGGGCCTGTGACCAAAGGCAAGCTAGTTGTTTGAATCAAGCAGCATCTATGTTAGCATTTAGTCTGGATCCAGAGTTCAGTTTTCAGGGCAAGTTTCCTGACAGTTCATCATGCACGTCTGTTCGCATCACCGCGTGGTCTTTGAGCTAGATTCCTTTGAATTAAACGTAACTTCAAGACATTCTCCAGTAGCCCAGCTAACTGCTCCAACTAACTGAGAGCTAGCCAAGGCTAAACCCTCCTGAAATACATACAGTGTAGGTATCAGGTCTTCAGAAAAAGCTGTTCTGCTCTAAAGAGTCATTCCTACTGGCAACACTACTTGCTCATGCAGACACAGCCTCTGTTTAATAGGAGGAAAGCTCAGTTTGATGGAACCTCATACCTTTTTTTTGTCAGCATACCACCTTCTTGCACAACCAAACAGTGTTGGCTTTTTAAATGGTCCCCGCCCCGTCCCCAGCGCAGACAGATGGTGACAGTTTCAGTGTGCTGGCATCCACACAACATAAAACATTTTCTTCTGTGGAAATGGACATTACCAGCATTGTTGCTTTTCTTTCTTTTTAACCTTCTCCATATCCCTTGCAGCTATTTCTCACCGCTAATCCTAACTTTATGACTCTGGTAGTAGCCTTCAGACAAGTTCTCAGCTCTCGATCTGACGCCTCCTGAAGACCGTGTTAGTCTTCAGGTAGATCCTGATCCAGATGCTGTACAGGGCATACTGGAAGGATTCTGAGAAGCCCATCGTTTCTTCCAGCTACCACAAGAACACTTGCAGAATTCTCACCTATAGCAATCAGACTTTTTTTAGAGCTTCCCTGTAACTTTTGTCCAGCAAAGCTAAATCAGCCTCACATTCTAGCCTTTGCATAACAAGCTTTACCAAATTTTCTAAAATGTTTGAAAATATTTTGTTGCCTGAATAGAGAATCATCCAGAAATAGTGCCCTTAAGAGCCGTGCTCATCCTTCTGTCTAACAAAATCTTAAGAAAACACACTGAATTAGCTATTCAAGTAGCAGAAAGTACAGCAATCCTCCTGAAGCTGCTTTTGTGTGCTGCCATCCCAATTAATGACAACAGAGGGATCAGCAGGGAGCCATAGCATCTATTCCTTGCTCCTAGGAAAGCTAAACTCCTGAAATAAATAGCTATGTTCTTTAGCACTTCCAGGGGAAGACTGCACACTACCTCTTTTGCTGTTTGCTCTCTAGGTACAGGAGTGTTGCATACATCTTCCCCCAAAGTCTGATTTCCCATTTCTTCATGAAATATGTCCAGCTCTAATTGCAGCAGTTTTCCCTCTTCAGTGGCATAGCATGCAAGTCTCATGCCACAGTCTAAGTCTGAAAGAAAATTGCCCAGCCACAGGGTATACGTATGACTTCAAAGGGGAAGTGGTCCTCACCATCTTTCAGCCCTAGCACATATTTGCTTCTGTCTCTCTTCATTAACACAAAGCCTTCCACAGAACACACTTGGAGGTCCAGGTTCCCAATACCTTGGTCTTATCTTGCAACAGAAAAGGGGTAGGCTCCGCTGAGCCCTCTATTATATACTTCCACATTCTGTGACAGGTCAGCCCTGCATGGTGAATGCAGGACTTGCATCACTGCCTCATTTTTCCATACAGTTCAAACACTGTCCTCTCACCTGTTTTCTGACCTTACACACTGAACAGGTTTGGCACAGCATGTTCTCACTCATCCAGAAGGAAGTAACTGGAAGGTTATGGTCCAACTCTTTTTCTAGCACGATGTAAGACAGGGAGACTCAAGCTTGTGGATCTTAAAAAGCAGGGAATAGCAATAATTCAGTACAGAGCCACATCCTCTCCTTCCTCCTAGCAATTCCTGAAATTGTTAGCCTAAGAATTAGAGTTAGGCCTATCAAAGACTATTTGGACCAGTTGACAAGGACTATGTACGATTAGGCACTTGCTTTCACTATACTTCACAAGGGAAGGGGCGGGAGGGGTGGTGGGAGGCAAGGAATTGACCCAAGAAAAGAAATAATAGTCAACCCTCTTGAGTCACTCATTTGTAAATAGCAAGGCAGGAAGAAGATATGCCTTGGTATATGGGGGGGCGGGGGGAGAAAGGAAATGCCATGCTATTTTATTATAGTTGCTTGTCCTACAGGTAAGACACTATAGGTAAGACCTTCCAGATTGGTCAAGGGGAAAATGCTAAACGCTCCTGAAGAGCAATGGGGAAAAATCCCAAACTCAACCTGAAGTGGTGTAGATTTGTGGCTACTGTATTATGTGTCCTAGCACCATGAACCTAGAGCAACTTGCTCTAGGACTGATAAGGCCTTCACTGTATTTGGCTGTTCCAGCCACCTTTTGTTGCCACCTTATAGGGCCCCAGAAGGTAGAATGTCTTTAAAGGCACCTGTAGAAGAGAAACACATGAGAACATGACTTAAAAAGGTGCCTGCATCCTTTGGTTATTGAAACCTTTGCCCTTAATTTGAGTCAATACTAGAAGAGAGGTGTCCCTGACCATAGCAACCCCCTCCCCCCTGCAACACATTTCAAGTGCTGCTCTGCAGTGGAACCTAGTCAGATTCTCCCTTCCCCCAAAAGCTCTTTTTTCAGGTTTCTGTCCTTTCCAGGAAAGTGAGCTTAGTCATGGCAATCCAATAGCATGCAGTGGTTGTTACATGAAGCCTGTTATACGCAGAAACTGCATTAATGAATGCATTATGAAGTGCTGCTACAAAAGAGAGCTCCAAGTAGGTATCAGAGACAAGATCTTCCAACCTGGTCTGACATTCAAGAAGAGACCATACCCTGCCCCGTAGTGTTACATAATACTAGAATTATGTATTGTAAATTTCTGACTTATTTATTTTCTAAAAAATAAAACATTGCATTTCTTTAAAAAAAAAAAAATCCTCCTCTTTTTTCTTGAGGTTACCGTATATGGGAATAAGTCCTAAATGTTGCCCACTGCATGCATGTGATGATACAGACGGTAAGCTCCCAGAGTTTTCTATCATTTGTGCTTACAGTTCTCAATTTCAATTTCTTGAATTATTAAATATACAGTGAGGTTTTTTTCAAACATAACATCCTTCTCACACACGTTCTCCTTCTCACTGCTAGCTCACTCACTTCCTTTTTATATTTAATAACCAATTCACTTAGAGCTTGAACATCACTCCTGACCCTCCCACCATTACAGAAGACCTTGCCTAACCCTTGCATAAGTGGCTTCCTCCTCTCTTCTCTCAAGCCCAGGCTGGAAGATCATTTCAACAGGAGTCAAAACTGTTTTGGTGAGTTCACGCTTCTCATATTGGCTCATCACTAGTTCTGACCAGCAAAGGGACTGCCAGGAGGCAGAAGAGCCTTCACAGACAAACCAGGACAGCAATGTTAAACCCGGCCTGCTATGTCTTACACTTGCAACTGGTTCTCTCTCATCCCACAGCCACATTTGCACCTCATACACTCGCAGCACAGACCAGTGGCCAGGCCAGCCAGCTGTGTCAGAGCACAGATGGGGTTGCATCTGGTACGCAGGATCACAAAGCAAGAGAGAGGAGAAAGTGTGCTGGACCATGACCCTACACTCTGCCCAGGATCCTGTTCTCCAAGGAAAACCAAAGGAAAACAGACTGCCTTTGTCCTTGAATAGCAGTGAACACCACACAGACAGCTGCCGTGACCTCAGGACCAGTGCAAACAGTGGCTTATTTTCCAACCCTCATACTCCCTTGCCTGGCTTGGTGCCAGGCCTTCCAACTCTTCCTGCATGCACCGATGGGCAGTTCATTTACCTCTTAGGAAGCTGCTGAAAAGTGGAACTACTGGCCAACTACACCTTTTTTAACCACCTGCTGCCCCCAACTGTGACCAAGCCCTCTGTAGCTCCTCTTTTAACCAGGGAGGCCTTAGAGCCAAGATAGGCTTTCTGGATTGCAGCCCTCAGCACAGGAAAATCTCCCTCCTGTTAGCACAGGCTCTAGCCTGTAACTACGTGCAGAAACATTTCTGAGGACAGACTGAGCTCAATGCAGAACCCTTTCTGCCGCAGGCTGAAAAAAAAAAAAAAATCAGAAAATGCCTTTGGTTGAGCAATGTCAGCATACCACAACATGGCCTCAGTTCCCTTCCTGCCTCATCTTGATGAGTAGTTGGACCCCTATATTTGCACAGTGGAGCTCTGACATGGATATATGATATTAATGGCCATTTCCTTCTGCTGAGAGCAGGGCTTTTGCTGATTCAACTGATGCTTTATTTTAGAAGAAGGAGATAAACACAATATCGTTTTCTGGTTAGACCAATTCTGTTGTTTTTCTAGAACAATCGTCTCCATTCCCTGCAATCTCACTCATGCTGTGAAGTTTGAGGGCCTTCAAAAAAGGATGACAAATATCACAGCAAGATAGAACTGAAGCCAGGAAGCAGTTTATTGATTTGACTTAGATCAGCTCACAGTCACAGCAGTTCCAAAATGAGGAATGTGTTCATTAGCCCCCTGCTTTTTTACACTGGGGGTTGGGAACGGAGATCAAGGATAGCATTAGAAATGAGATTAGCACAAAAGATGGGAGCAGAGAGTGCTGCTTTCCCAGGAAATACTGCACTTCAGCAGGATTCAAAACTATTTTCATGCGTTCACATTGCTCATGTTAGCTGCTCAGGAAGAGCACAGAACAGAGCCACAACAATCACAGCGAGGAAGACTGTGAATGAAGAAATCCAAAACCCACCTGGATGAACACTTGCCCTGCTATTTGACTTGTAAGCAGGCAGCACACGTCGAGCAGGGCTCTCCACTCACTGCTAGGCACCAGTTGATTTCCAAATGTTACTAACACTCACGCTGCACCTCTCAACCAAAGGCGCCTAAAGTTATCTCACTCACCTAGATCCAGCCACGCATGGATGCAACTGAGACACAGCAAGAACTGTGCTTGAGTACGTGCAAACTCCCATCAGCAGAGATCAGCAACGCTCACTTTTACAGCCTACCTCCTTTGTTTTGGCCGAGGCTGCTGATAACAAAAGCCTCCAGAGATCTTTCAAATTGTATTTCTATGGACACAACACCCACCACCTGCTTCTTACGTCATTATATGGCATATGTTACTCAACAGCACAGACTGAATTGCTTGGTCCAGATCCCATACTTCTGCCCACACATAGAACATCCGGCTCAGCAGAAACACAGCTCTCTCGTTGGCTAAAACAGGGGTTTGTCCCCAACTTCAGCCACCCACTTTGCAATGGCCATCCATTCCCTCCAGAGTCTCCAATGTGGTTATTTTAGAGGACAATTCATCCCCTCTCTCTCTGGAGGGAGCCTAGACACCTAACCCAGACCTAAAGGTGGGTGAGGGATGTTCCCCCCACCCTCCATGCACACTGCCAGAGCACTAAGCATCAGTTTCTTTCCTTCAACACCCCTACGGTGAATGGACACATCAGAATAAACTTGCTTTACAGAGACATCCACGTAAAGCCAGGGGAGAACAGCAAGGCTTGAGACAGTCAAAGTTTTCACTCCTCTCTCCCGTGACAGAACTGCCGAAAAAGAACATGTTTCACGAGGACAGGGACAGCCCTAATGGGAGTGACAGTGAAAAGGGGAAGCATGCATTTGAGCCCTCTTCCTCCCATACAGGACACAACAGGACAAATACAGGCCTCTGTGAGCCAGACCTGGCTGCTCAGCCATAGCCTAAGCTCAGCACTGTAGCCCCACTGATAATCTGATCCCATCTTATCCCATCCCATCCCATCCCATCATCTGTGCCCATTTTATCTGATCTGGCACAGCAGAGACACCAGCGTTGCCTCCAAGCTAGTCCCTGCCTACAAAAAAAAAAAAAAAAAAAACTACAGCAATGACACTAGCTGCAGAACAAGAGATACCACCACTGCAGCCCCCTTGCCTCCAACCCACCCCCCCAACACACCTCGCCCAGCACTATCTGTAAGAATTATCCATTTGTTTCATTATCCAGCCTACAGACTTCTCCTTACTGCATCTTGCCAGCTCTTCAGCAACACCCTTCAGTGGGAGCTCTCATACTGCCTGTGAACTTTTTGAGGACAATATAGCAGGCTGGAGGTACCCTCCTCTTCTTTCCTTTTCACTCCATTTGCCATCCCCTCCAAGCAGAAGACCAGCTCTCTTTGGACAGCATTTCAACCACCCTAATTGGTTGGCCACAGCAAGGACTGAAATTACAGCAGAGCAAAAAGCTCTTTATGAAGCTTTTTTAAAGGTGGGGACTTTTCAAAATACAATCACAGCTCAGCAAGGCTATAACACAGATGTAAGAAAATTTAACTTCAGCAGTTTGGATTAAAGTTATTAATATTCTGTGACATTTGAAGCCTGAGGAAGAAAACACACTGACTCGTACCCTTGCACCACATCTCAGTTTCTATTATGCAGCTCTTCTGTTATTAAATAAAGCACTGGCATGGCTTTATCGGGTCATTTATGCAGAATTGCATGAAAAATAGGTGGAACGTTTTACACAGATTACATTTTAGCGCTAAAAAATCTTCTAAATGTACTTTTCAGAGTGTATACAAAAGAATCGTTAACTGTAAGCAAAGCTGCATCTCGGATGGAGTACAGACCACATTCCGCATCAACACCTTTTCCCCTTGAAGTGAAGCAGTCTTCATGCCACAGAGGCCTGGCGTACCGATGGCCCTCTAGACAGAATACCATCACTAAACAAAACAGGACAAATTCCTGGAAGATGAAAAATGGTACAAAAGTCAGATAAAGGCACTAAAAGTTCTTTGGGCAAATGTTACTGTAGAAGCTTCCAACAACACAGGAGGAACTCTCCTCTGATGACCTTTGAGGGATATGATCCTCCCTGTAGAAGGACAACAGCCTGTAGAGCGACACTGCCATACCAGTTACTTACATACTCCTAGAAGCCTTTGATGTCTCTCTGCAGCTCCAGACAAATACCTGGCCTTCCCCTCTTCACTGGTAAGTGATAGTAACTCATTTCCTTCCAGTTTGCACAACTATAATCCCCCCAGTCTTTATCAAGCATGGATGATGTATTCAGGCAGTTCTCCTTGCTCCTTTTTCTGCAATTACTTCACAGGAAATGTTGCCTTCAAATATTTAGAGGCCACCCTACACACCAGAAGCTGCTCTAGATAGTCTTACAAACTCTTGTCCAGTTGAGAGCTACACTTCAGGTGCAATATGTACTCAATGATCCAAAATTATCTTTTATCTCTGTAATAATGATATGGTGCTGACACGATCATTGCTACTACAGAAAAGTGCTGCACAGCATCTAGCTTATCTATTTTAGGGACACTCTCCCTGCCCAATACACATGGTCAAGATATCTCCACTTTATAGACTACAGACTAGACTAAGGCACAAATAAATGCTTTGCCCAAGGCTATAGGGGAAGCATAGGATTCTTCCCACTAGATTTAACAACCTTAAAAGTCAGGTGCCTCATTTGATCTAGGGTCCTTCTGTAGTCACCAGTTAAAAGACAGGGACCTCCAGAGAAATATTTATACCATTCTCAAAATGATGGGATAATGAGCTGCCGTGTTTGATAGCGCGGAGCCACATTTGCGGAGGATAGGTACCATTATACATACAAGTTCAACTGAGAGATGACAGCAGACACAGGCTTCCCATTTGATTCAGCAAATTGCTGCTATAAATTCTACCTGCTGCCTTCAAAGGCCTAATATATGCTGATTGTCAGGGCTGTACCAGCATAGGAAAGACTCAATAACAGCCAGGCTGACAGGGAAGGAGGGGGGAAAAAAAAAAGCAACAATCCAGATGAAACATGACGCAAAACAACAGAAAACCCTGAGATATGTGTAACGTTGTTGAAAGCATATCCTAAAAGTTATTCAGAGAAAATGACATCTCAAAGCACAATTACCCACAGAGTAGAATGTGAGCTCTTCAGAGCAGAGGCAACGTTTTGTTATATTCTTAGGTATCTCTTAGTATACAAGAAATCTGGCTCAACACTACTGTGATGCAAATAAAACACCTGCTCTGCTTATCAGAATCCTCCTGCCTGGCTGCCTAATTCTTGGGGAAGGAACTGTTGGCCCTGGAGACAGATCCTTAATCTTCATAAAAATAATAGATTTATCTCAAGGTTTATATTTGATTCCACAATCATTAAGTAATGAAGCAATTAACAGGAGACATGCAGTGCAAGAACTGTACAGAGAGAAAACAAGAACTGGATATTTAATTCTCTATTGGATGAGAAAAAAATAATGAATACTTTCTGTATTCTTCACAAAAATGGTAGTGAGTTCTTAAAATTTTGTAAAGATACGTAAATGCACTCTTTCAAGGCCCTTTTCCTCACTGTGTGTAGTCAGACTTGGGCCAAAACATAAAATGGTGTTAAAGCTTAAACCTGTCAGCTTTTTGCCCCAGGAAGCCTTTCTTTCAGGATCCAGGCGCCTTTTGCTATAATTTTTGTTTGTTTTAAAAGCCACATAGCCACAGAATAGATGAATCAGGACAGACTTTGAGGTTCACACCCTTCCCTTACATCTCTAAACTACAGACACAAAAGGATCTCAGTACTGCAACAGGCTTATGAATAAATCAAGATCTACTTTAATTTAAAACACAAGTGCAAAGGATTCACCACTACAGATGAGCAGGAATATTTGTTTCAACTTATAAACTTTTTTTAAAGCCCTGCTCTTCTGCATAAAAAAGCAGTATATCTGGAATACAGAAACATTTTACATCAAAATTTTTCCAGTGCAGCCAAGGATGAGCTAAAGGAATTCATTTCAACCAACTTCATCATCCCCAAACTTAGGCATCTAGTCGAGACAAATCACTGATGATCCCTCTACTGTCCATGGGGAGAGTGGTATCAAGAGAGAGTGATTTCATCCTACAGGAGGTATCTAAGAAACTGGAGATTAATCCCCCTCTGCTCTGAAGGTGTTCCTCTCTTGCCATGGTCTACAGAGGCAACCCATATGCTTTGCAGACGGGGTGGCCACTGTTTAGATGAGCAGCATCAGTGCTGATGAATTCCATCCCGAATTACTTCAAGTAATTAACTGCAGCTTCAATTTTGAAGCAGGATCTGTAACTGAAGTGAAGAGCAGAGGATAGAGATTTTTAAACATCTTCTGAAGAAAATGCAAGTTACGAGGTTCGTTTCTGAGCCAGTAAGCCTGTCCCAAGAACAGTAAATTCCAGTAAAATTAAATTCCAGTAAATTTGCATTTCAGTTTCAAAATGGGATCCCAGTTTCACATATGAGACTATATTCTTGAGACCTCACAACAATACTCACCATTACTGTACAACGTTACATCCTGACCTGGAGTCCAATGACCTCAACTATCTCACCGATCAAAAAACTTACCATACAAAACACCTAAATCCATTTACAAATAATTGAAAGAGCTGCTTAGACAACAAATAACCTTCTGAACATATCAAAGGGGTGGGGGAGGGGGCCATACCAATAACAAAACATACATCAAAAGTTTCCTTTGTCCCCACGTTTTGCAGTAGCAAACAGCAGAGATGGAACAGTCTCACTAGGAAAAACAAAAATCTCTCCTGGGATACACAGGACGGCTGAAACTTCTGCATTCAGTCTCCTAGAGCATCCCCAAAGCACTAACCAATGATTGCCTCAGAGCAGCATTTCTCTGCCTCTCCTGGGAGACAGGGCTTAGGAAGAGAGAGGTTTGGAAACCCAAATACAAGCTGTCATAGACTCTCCTTGTCAAGCACACTATTGCCCTCCCATTCCAACTAGCGCTGGAGGTTTTGCATATGGTGAATTTTCAACCACGAGATTCTGTTGGCAGGAAAGACGGTCTTCACAGAGACCCCTTTGAGGCCTGTATCCAAGTGCTTCCCCTCCAAAAGCTTAAGATCGTGAAATGAATTGAAGATTGACCACGTGTTAGTCTTGTCACTAAACCATACATATGCCTCAGCAAAAGAGAAGCAGGTCGATGTTTTCAGACGGCTTTCCTGCAAATATATACATAACACATCTGCTTCCCAGGAAAATATGTACAGGTATCTAGTCCACATTTAACCAAAAGAGATAAAATCATCTGTGAAAAAGTCTCAGAGGAAAAATTTGCAAAGTCTTTGTGCATTGTTTGAGAGTTTAAAGGGGCCTGTGCCCCAAAATGTATGTTTGAGTCAGCTCAAGACTCCAGTGTACAACTAAATAAAACAAAAATCACATTTCTAATGGGGAAATATAGTTCAGTAGCCAGCAGCCAAGGTTTGCAGGAACTTGCAGACATTCAGACAGACAATGTCAGACTCTGCTTAGGAAAGCCGTTCTTCAGAAGAAGCAATCCAGAAGTCATGAAAAGCCCGCTTTATTCTGGAGATGTACTTGGTCTTACTTGGATCAAGTATGTATTGATTGTCTTCAGCAAAAGAGAAGCCACAAAAGGCTGGGGCTGCAAGGAGAATATTCACATTCATCCTCTAAAAGGATCACTGACAAGTCTCAAGCACCATTCACAGGATGAGACCTGTCTCACGAGAGCGTGGTCTCTTGGTTTATTATTAAAATTACTTTTTCCTAGCGTTTCCCCTTACGCAAAGTCAGCAGGTAGAGGTACGCTTTCTGTATTGTTGGATAAGGGGGACCAGGCACTCTGGAAGTCCTGTCTGGAGCAAAAAGGGGTGATCCAGGAGCTCTTGTGCCGTTGCTCTTTCTAGCGGATCCCGTGTCAACATCCTTTCCAAGAAGTCTCTCAGCACTGGGGAAGTCTGTGAAAAAGCAACCAACCAAGTCAACCCCATAAAGGAACCCGGCAATAGTTTATTTGACAATACACTGCTGAGGTAGGTTTGGTTAAAAAGGATCCTGTACGTTTCAGCTTTGTAAGCTTGTTTTTACACAGAAATGTAACAGGAGATACGATTTCATTTCAAATACGGTTTTTACGTACAGGAACGACTTCCTGTCATGGTAGGCACAACATTCACACAGGTTGTTTTTCTTTCAAGGGGCAGAGCAAATGAAGACAAGGGGACTGCCTGCCCTGTCCTTCCATCCAAGTTAATTTTTTTCCCCATTTATTTATAAAATGTTTCTCATTACTATTTGCTTTTCTATACATTTCAGCTCAAAAATTCAGCAGACTTCCTGCTCCCTGAAGCACAAGGCACATCATTTTGGGTTTGAAAGGTTGATCAATTCACTATTTTACTGGCAAGAGAGCATAGAAAGAGTGATTCCCAAACTGGTTTTGAGAGTCTGGTAACCTGGTGCAGCCAGTGCAACAGTAAGAAACTTCAGAATAGTAGATCAAAAAAGCTACCTGCCCTTAGCAGGTTTGTCCTTTAAAATACATGTGCAGAGACCTGTTGAGGAGACCCAAGAACCATTAACAGGCACTGCACGTCTCCTGCTGGTAATAATCCTCTGAATCATTAAAATTGAATAAAAAATGAGTTCAGAACACTTTTTTTTTTTTATTTTAATGCCACTAATTACCGATTTTAGATTTGGGGGCACTTTCCTAGCTGTGCTTAACTTAGAGGTGGACCGTGAAATACTGTTCACATTGAGTTACTACTTGTTTCATGAGCGCTCTGAATGTGATTGCTAGAGGGAGAAGGCACAACGCAGCTAAGTACCAGTGCCAGGATCCAGCCTTTATCACACCATCAATAAAGCTACCTATGGTTTAGAAAGCAGCAGTCATTATTTCAAGTGGTGTCCATTGACCCTGTTACACTCAGTGCTACACTAATTGACCACAGTTAGCTGTAATCAAAATGGAGGGCTGAATCCACAGCTGTTGCTGAGCTTCTCTTGGGCAACAGGGCAATGGGGAGGACAGCCACCAGCCTGTCGATCTCAAGGTCTGCTGGAAGTCAGTTTGCTTCCAGGACCATGCAGAGCACAGCAAGACTAAACAACACAGGCTTTCCACAGCCTGTGGCGGGGTCATCTCACCAAGCAAAGCGCATGTCCCAGAGAATTGCACCTAGACCAGGACTGGCTTTACACTGTGTAAGAAGTCCAAGCGTTGGGTCCAGGACGCAACCTAGGAATTTTAGTTAGTGTTGCAGAGGCAAATCCAAAAGACAGCAGCTGTTGATATTTCAGTGCACACTGCTGGTATTCAGTATTCTACTCTGTTGAATAATTCAGTTTTAGCAGCTGCAGATATTCAGATTGGAAAGGCCAGATAGCTCAGAATGCTGCAGAAATTATTTGATCTCAGAGGCTTGGACTAAAATGAAAGGAGGGCTGTTCTAGTGATGAGTAAAAGGTAATCATTGTATTGCTTACGTCACTGCTAGTATTTCTTAAGAAACCATGAAGCTGAGCTAATCATCAAAGCAGCTGCAGTGTCCTCCATGAGCTGCTGCTTGCTTGAGCTCTCCTGCTCTGACCACAAAGCAGCCTCTGCAGTCCTGAAAGATGCTAAGCTGGAAACTCTCAAGGGCAAGGATCCTGCTATTTCCTTCCCTAAAAGATGAGCTACTCCATTGACATCAGCAAGACGTTAACTTTTGTCTCCACCCGAAGCAGCTTTAATTTCCATTATCAGGTTCTTGCCCAAGTGACCTTAAATTATTTGGGCTATTTCCTAAACCAGCCACTAGCTGTCAGCAGCAGCCTGCATCCTCTGAGACACCAGGACCAAAGAAGTTCCCCAAGAAGTATGTCTCAGCAAGACCACTTTCACAGTCAGCTTCACGAGGAACAGCCTATACCAATGACCATCTACCTGAATCTCAGCAACTCCGTTTCCTCATGATAATCAGCAGGTTCACAAGTGCTTTGTCATTATGCTCACCCTGTGGAAGTTTTTCAGTTTGGGAGGAGGACTGTCACGGAGTCTCTTCATTGCCTGGACTGGAGAATCACTAAAATAGGGGGGTTCCCCATCTACCATCTCTATCACCATGATCCCCAGAGACCAGATATCCACCTGTGGGAGCCAATGTCATATCAACACACACAGTTCAGAGCGATATGTCCTTTGTTCGGTTGCTTTCACAAGTCTCTAACACCCCACCTATGACAAATGTTATTGAAAGAGTAAAACATTAACCCACTTGACACTATTGGATGCCTTACTGCAGTTTAACAAAGACACTTTCCAACCCAGAACTAAGCCGTGCCTGTGTTGCAACATGCAAAGGTCTGCAAGTACTTGTGCTACACCTGGTTTGCTGGGAAACAAAACTAAACAGCCTGCTGCCACCTGCCCCATAACTTCAGAGCTCCCTTCTGCATCTTCTCTCCTCCCCTCCCCTCCCCTCATGGCATTAAGATTGATTTACTGATCCATATCATGTCACCTGCTGCCCCTTGCTAACATCTGTCCACACCACAGCAGATACAGGCCTAATCCAAGGTTCAGGAATATGATCAAAATAAGGTGATATACTCTGTTCCCTGAAGCAGAACAAACTAGTTTTTTTTTTAAACCTTTTTAGGAAATACTGATAGTGTCATAATCAAATCTGAAGTTATATTTGTATTTTAAATAGGCCCTAAATGCTCTCCCTTGAGAAGCCAACAGTTACTTTCCTGTGACACCTCAGGATTTTATATGCTTAGGAGAGTGTTCTCTTACCTCAGTAGCGTATGGTATTCTTGCAATAACTTCTGGAGCCATCCAGTAGGGAGTTCCTACCAGGGATTTTCTTTTAGGTACATCTTTACTGATCTGAGCACAGAACCCAAAATCTGAGAGTTTCACCTGCACAAAGGAAAAAGCAACCCAGCTTGAAAATAATTTTTAAACAACATAGAGGGAAGCACCAAAGATAGAGAAGACAAAGCGGGTAAGAGTATGAGGTTGAAACATGAGACAGTGAACAGAAAGGAAATAAGGAGACCGACTAAGGCTAAAGTAGCAGAAGACAGGAAACTGTATAAGGAAACTTACCCTTCCATCCAGGGTCAAAAGAATAGAGTCACTCTTAATGTCTCGGTGAATGACTCCCTGCGAGTGAAGATATGCAAGAGCCTGCAGCACTGATTCACACACTGTTGCAATTTGCTCCTCATTTAGCCTGAAATTAAAGACCGAGGTTTTCAGCTGTATTGTACTGAGCTACAGATAGTACTAATACAAAATCCTCTTTGCAGGTGCAGTGCAGTTTTGAAGTTTAGCTGTAGATATATATTTTGATTCTCCATGACCAAGATGATGATACCAAATAGTCTATGCTTAAGAGAACTGCCAAAAGCCAGATTAAGATAAAGCCTGAACTACATTCTATCACTATGCATTTTTCTATCATAGGGCAGAAGCAGCAAAGGACTGGAAACTTTGTCTCTTATGACTATCCTTTACTGCTGAAAACATTTTTGTCTGGACGATCAGCAATTCTAAGTTTTCGTAAGGCTAATTCAGACAAATTGCACTTTAAGCCTTTTATCTAAATTCATTCCACAAGACGCTGTTTCAAGCGATTCTGATAGCCAAGATTGCTTCTGCATGCCAAAATGCCGCAGTGACTGTTGAGATAGCTTTTTTTATTATTATTTTAAACAGCTATAGCGAAGCTACTGTTCACAAGGTGTACTGTGCAATCTTATCCAGAAAGGATCTAAGCAAGTAATTCAATAGAGGACATAGGGATTCTTTACGGGTCTCATGCAGCTAGATGGTTCGGATACTCTTTGTACATCTAACTAAAGACAGCACAGGTTACAAATAAGACATTGTAATTTCTGAATTTTAGCACTCTGTCTGTTAGCATGCTGAGCGTGAGTACCAAGAACCTTATCTTTACAAGTTCTCGTTGTCTGGAATAGCACACAACAAGCCTCATGATAAGAAGTAGAAATGAAAGTTATTTCTTGTAACTGTGGCCAATGACAGCATACCCTGCCTATTTATACTGACAGAATGCTAGAGGTTGAGTATTTCAAGAGAATACTTGGAGTACTCTATTTCAGTGCTTTTGCCTCTCAGCCTGCCTCTAACAGTTGTTTCAGACCTTTCTCAGTTGAGGGCATAGGAATGCAAGTGACACCTCCTCAAATCCAGGTCTGCAAGTAAGACTGAGGAGAAGAGGGGTTTTGAAGGCCCGTTTGAGCAGACTGCTCCTGCACCTCCTAAGTACTGGAAAGCAATCTCTGCACACTGACATTCATGAAGGAGTTTCATAAGTTGGATCATCACCAACTGATGCTTGCTTTTCACATTTGTTATTCCACGTCTCATTCTACCAAACAAACCAGGCAGCTGTGACCAGGGCACTGCCTATCATGGCTACCTT